TATTTTCATTAGCCTTACTGCTACAGTCATAAACAATTCTAACTCGAGTTGTTTCCTTGTCATCCCTAATTACCGCTCTGTGGGGCATATAATATCCTGAATTTTTATCTTCATTAACACATTTTCCCACAATCTGACATTCTAACTGATCCGATATAATTTGTTTATACTGGTCATAAATTTCTTGATTTTTATTTAGTTTGTGCTTTAACGAATCAAAACGCTTTTTCGCAACCTCATAATTAGAATTCAACCCAACTGCAGGTCCCAAGTTTTCCTTCCACATCAATCTACTACAAACGTACCTTTCCCCATTAAATTCCAGAGAATTTTCAAATTTTTCAATCAATTGATTGTCCCATTCAGAAAAGTTTGTTTGTCTGACTGAAATTCTTCTATTTCCCAAAATTTTTTCAAATCGCACAAAATGGAAGAAGAGTCCATGACTAAACATACATTTTCATAATTATTAGTCAATTTATTACTTCCTTTTTCACTCCCGCTAGTAACCAACCGAAACAAGAATTTATCGCAGTAATGTTTTCATTTAACTTTACTCTCTCGTCATAAACAACATCCCAAAATGAATCGCATCCGATAAGTATTTCCGTCTGACAGTCGCCAGAAAATGAATCAGCCAAAGGTAAACCTCTTTCCTTCAACGCATTGCGAATAGATACATCAGGAATTTTCAAGGACAAATTAGATATATATTCCGTTATGACAGCTTCTAACTCGTACGATTTCGAACTTTGATCCCTATTGCGCAACGTCAATGAAACGATACCGTATTCCTTCTCACGTGCCATTTTGTCTCCGAAAGCAAAAATAGCTATTCTTTCGTAGCGTATTGGCTTTAATTTTAATTCTTTAACTAATCGAGATGAAATAAAACTTCGATGACTACCATTGTCTAAAATAACATTAGTTAAGACTGAATTTTTTTATCCGAACAGGCTAAAACTGTACATGTTTGTAAAAAGGGCTTATTTTTGGTACATATATTACTATGAGACACAGAAATATTCTCGGCGTTTTTTTATTAGATTTAGATTGTGAGTCATTCAAAACAGTTTCGCTTTCCACTTGCTTCTCACAACCTCTCGTTGTAACATTAACGGGTTTATTTTTTTCTACACACTGACTCATGATGAAAATTGCTTAAACAATTTTTACACGATATTTTTGCCCTGCATACGCGAGACACATGTGATATTTTGAAAACAACACCAGCTTCAGTCCTAAGCTTATTTATTTTTTGTTCTACATCCAATTTTTTACAACTTACGGAATCGTGATGACCGTCACAGAATAAACAAACATTTTTTATTTGTGTATTTAACGCTGAAGCGGTTGATATATTTTTAGGCTTTGAATAGTTTTTCTGATAAGTTTGACCACTTTGATAATTTTGGGAAAAGGATCGTTTTCGTTTCGTAACTTTTTAGCAAGCTCATCACAGTTTCAACAGCAATTTCCCTAGATTCGACTTTATTCCTCAAAAACGCAATAATTTCCGAAACCTCACAATTCACTTCCCTGTTTCGTTTTCGGTGAAAATCTAACACCAAATCTTGTGGTAGCAACTTCAATAATATTGGATTCAATAAATGCCCATATTAACCCTCCGTTACATTTAATGAACGCAAATTTCTTATATTAACTTCTATTTCATTGTATAATTTACGCAAACCCTTAACATTAGACGAACATCTCACGGATTCTAAGCTTAATAATTTAGTCATGTAAGAATTTATAATAGAAACAGTTCTACCATATCTTTGTTTTAAAAGCTCAAGACAGGAGTCATAGTTTTTCTCATTTAATTCAAAACCCGCAACAACGTTATATGCAGGACCAGAAAGAAGAGATTTTAAATATTGGAATTTTTCAATTTTCGTAAGTGAATTGTTTGAACCGATTGCGCTATCAAAACAGTTTAAGAATTCCATAAATTTGCCAGAATCACCAGAGAATCGCGAAATTCTAAACTTTGGTAATTTAAAGCCGTAACTTCCGAAAATAGAGGCCCACCAGCGGCCGAGCGGGCTACTGGTAGTCGGTCCGAGGTTCGAATCCCGCGAACGGGCGGCTGCATGGGTGTTTTCGTGGTTTTTCCCCATGTGTAACGTGTATACGAGCCAGTTTCCCTTAGAAAGTCCTCCACGAAAGGCATCCCTCCCCTTAGGCAGATAGCCCTAGTGTGCTTTGCCGTAATTAAAATACATACACACCGAAACACTAGATGTGTGAAGAACTGAAGAAGTCCGCTGAACATTTTCTGCTGCTAATTCTTTAATTTTGCTCTTTAGTTTAATCTTAGCGAACAATATTTTGTCATCTTATTCTTCCGAAGCTCTTAATTCACTTTAAAATTTTTCCGAATCGTCTGTGAGTGCTTCCACCTCTAAATCATGGCTTTTCAAGATCTGCTCCTTCGTTTCTCATAGTTCCAGTAGTTCTGATAATGAACTTACGTCTTCGACAGCTACACTGAACTTCTGCACTCTTTTAACTAGTTTAGTAACACTAGCGCGAACGTTACTTCTTTTTTTTCAATTATTTTCGAAAGCTTATCCATATTAACTCAGAATTTGTGAGTTCAAAAGATCTTACCTCCACAGTCCAGTATGCAATGTTACGTATCCAAAAGCGTGCGTAAAGTATCCAAACTTCTCAGAAATATAATCCAGTAATGATGACTAATTACTTCCGATATTCCACATTCGCGGACAAGATGCACCAATTTTGCATCTAATGGTTCTGTGAGACTAAAGGTGCATCCAAGAGATAATAAGAGGTTTTGTAAACAATAACCACATTTATTTACAAGAAAATATACGAAAATTTCAATCAATTAAAGATATATTATTAGGCATCTCTGCCTTCCATATCCTACACCTTTAGTATCCTGCCTGCCACTGACTATAGGGACGAACACAGCGCCCTCTAGTCAGAATTACGCTGGAAATATGTAATAAAACATTTGGTTATACGAGGCTGTATTGGAAGTCTGCTTGTTATCATTTCAACTGTCTTTAGACTCTTTCAACTGTCTTTTTTTGTTTCTTACCAAAATAAACTTACTTTTAATAACTTCTAATATCATTCTATTTGGCAACTTCATCACTCATAGCTGTTTTGTTGAAAGTTTACTTGTTGCCACATCAGTTTTCTTTAGACTATTATTTTGTAAGGTACACTTTAAGTTAATTTATCCATTATTTTATTATGATTTAGAACTATGCTCTCTTAGCTCCGGATTCATCAGGACAAATCAGTAGTGCTGGCTCACTTCGAATTATCACTTCTTACTTTCGTTAACTCTAAATAGGATATAAGGCAAATATGAGTATTTAAGACAGAGTTCTTGGAAATATAGACAAAGGTCTGGAGCGTTACCCCCACTGCACACAATTACATATACATTACTGAGAACGTTTGGCAATTAGACTGACCCGTAACGCAATTCTTTCTCTCAGCTCTGCGAGTTATTATCCGGTATTAACAATTTTGCTGGCCGAAGTCAGTCTAGCATTTAGTTGAGCCAACGCTTTTTAAGCTATTAGTATTCTAGTTTTCAATATCTAATTAACTTAAATGGTTTGTATTTCTGATATCTCGCAAGCTAAGGAGATTTAAACTGCATTCACATGTGGTACATTTTTTCAGTTTAAAGTTTTAAAGATTAAGTTCTTTAAACATTCTTCTATTTCAGTAATAAATTTCTCAGACGAGCGATAATTCGTCTGGCAGTCTTAGTAAGGTTGAAGGATTTAAGTTATTTACTAAGAGAAACAATACATTGTCGCCCAACGTTAAATATAGGTGTCAGGAGTCTACGCGACATTTAGTTTGGGCTTCTTCAGGACTTTAGGTTGATGAAACACGGGAAAGCCTCATGGAAGGATTTGGTTACAAATTGGATACCATTTATATTAAATTTATATTTCATTAGATGAATCTACCTTATATTAATATATTTAGATGAAATAAAGTAATGAAACATTTCAAAATAAATCTTATGTGGACTTCAGTTTCTTGAAAGGGCCGATTCAGTCTCTTTTCATTCTAGAAGTAACGCTGATAAACTACGAAAAAGATGCTAAAACGACTACGTCTAAAAGCGGTCATATCATGGCGTTTCAGCGACGTCGACAAATTGCCAAAGTGCAACGGCAAATATTTTTCGTCCTCGCTATGTTGTAAAGACGTTGTAAAAGTTACCACGATTACTTTGAAACCTCTGGGACCAGTTTGCAATATCTTTGCTACGTCATGTGGTACTTGGGTATTTGAATACCTTTCCGTGAGACAACAGCCTTCTACTTCAATGTGCAGCAAAAGGAAATTATCCAATATAAACTTATCAGATTCTTCACAAAGTAGTATATATAGTTTGCTTAAGGAGATCGTTATTATACAAGATTTATTATTTTTACTTTTAAATGTATTAATGATCACTTGTTACGCGGGAGGTAACCGACCTCGTTCTAAGGGCGTTTTTCAAAATGTTTGTTATATTTTTAAATTTAAGGGATTTTTTAATGAAATGTACTCAAACTTAAATGTAATCACTTCAAAAGCGATAAAAAAATCATTATTTTGAGAAATGTACGCAAAAAACTGAAAATTTTATATCAAAATTAATAAAAATATCAACCATCACTGACAGGAAAATATTGTTGATAAAAATCGATTTTCGGCTTTATTTTATACATACTACTTAGAAACATGTATTGAACCAGAATAATTTGAAAATATTGATTCACTAGCAAAATATGGTCAAATATGTCAGTAAACACTAAATTTTTTTAAAAAATACCCACGCTATTGAAGAAAAAATAGTGTAACTTAAATTCTATGGGATTAATTTTTAACTGCTAGTCTACATTATGCATAATAATGTATAAAACGTGTGTGCAAAATTTCAAGTGATTCTATAATGAACGTTTAGAGTTATCATGGTTGCCGTGAACAGAAATTATGAAAAAAACAACTAATCAAAAATTACGTTTAATGTTTTCAGATTGTTACATGACATTATATACACAAATATTCACTAAAAATGCTTCTGCATTATATGTGACAAAGTGAGAGTATAACATTTAATAGAATAGAAACCTCAACGTTATGATTGCCTTTTAATTCATCAAAATCACTTTTTCATTTGCCATAAATGTTCCAGATAATTTCATAGACAGATGTTTCAGTTTCATTGTGATTACCAGCATCAGCAGTCAGATATTTAGTGTATTAGTTGCTGTAAAATTTTCTCTTTATTGAATGAATACGTATAAATTTTGGCATTCTCGAACTTTCGATTATTAAACAGAATAAAAAAAGTGCAGAAAAATGAATCTTTAGCTGATAAATTAGTGCAGGAAATTTGTACACCGAAATACCGAAATCTCAATGTAAACAAGACAATAAGTTTGAAACGTTGTTGCCAAACATAAAAGAGAAAAGACATAATGAAAATACTTTGCCAGATTCTCCAAACATATCGAAAGGCTTAAAATTATTTAATTTATATATAACACAGAAAAAAAGTGGAAGTTGCACCTTTAATTTGTCCTTTAAACTTTAACTTCCGGTGTGGCAGACAGTTACTTCCGGTCTGTTGTATCTCAGAAAAACGTGCATATCTCCACTTCTAATCAACATATCAAGAAGAGAAAAGCTGTTTTCGATTGCTAAGAATATGGCCTTAAAAAATATTAAATTAAAAAAAAAAAAATGAGTTTTTCAGTCGAAATCGGCCTTTTGAACGAACCTTATTATCAGATTCTTCACAAAGTAGTATATATAGTTTGCTTAAGGAGGTCGTTATTATACAAGATTTATTATTTTTACTTTTAAATGTATTAATGATTACTTGTTACGCGGTTAAAACACACAAACAAACCCGATCCAAGAAAATCTCCTGGAAGAACCCTTAAAAATCACAATGTTATGCTTACGAGCATTCACTGTGAATTCTTGATATTCAATGTTATTCATTAATTCATGAATTGGCTGCGTGAATTCTCTAGTCTTGAAATCTACTAGCCATCTTCATTTCTGTCTGTTTAACTTTTGTTAAGCTGCGGATTCCAGAAATTCTCAAAGGATAGGGAAACTTCTCGAATGTGGAGTTCCAAAGAATGGAGAAACATCGTTTCAAAATCAAGGCGAGGCTTGGTTGCGTTAGAAGATGGCTTTTAATTAATAAGTAGGTCTGGAATTAAATAGGAAAGATTTTGTCAAACTAGAGAAAGCTTTTGAGAGATTTTTGAACTTTTGGTTTTGCTTTGAGTTAAGCAGTATGGCTGTTGTCGTCGTGACTAAACTCGCTTGTCTGATGTTACAGAAAGATCACGAAATTCGGCGTGGCATGAAGGCAATATTGAGCTTGTCGTTAGCAAAAGCCTTGAGTACCATACAGGTGAGAGTAGGACTTTGCTTAATTCTACTCCGAATTTTGAAAGACTGCATCCCGGGGCGACAGCTCCGTGGGTCTCTCACCCCTCTTAGTTTAGCAATGTGCAGAAGAAAAGGAAAAAAAGGAGGAAAGAAATTTGCGGATAATAATGAGTAGAACGGTGTGAAAATGGAGGACGGAGATGAGAATAATATGGTGATAATTCTGGAGCATGTGCGAAATAAAGGAAAAACTACTGAAGACGTACAGGCCTCGTGGAAAATTATCAGCTGCATTGAATGATTTAGTATTGATGAAGGAGAGACACGTGATGAAAATTTCCCTGATAAGAAAATTCCATGTTCTGGGCGGTGTTCTTCTCATGGCGTGTGTAATGCAAAGGAATACCTAATTTATGATCAACTGAAAATCTGTCTTCAGGAGTATTCTTTAATCAGTGAAGGAAGTTAAAAAAGGGGCGTGAGCATTCAATTTCCTAATTTAGCGGTTTAGAATATCGGCTTCTGGCACCGACTGATGCTGTGCGATTCTCCAGGCATTGTATTCCTGTTTGCGAAGTATTATAAGAGATTGTTCTAGACGGAGACGTATTATTTTCTTGAGAGGCTACCGAATTCGAATAGCGGCTTCTGACAGATGATGTTCAAGGATTCGGTTCTGTGTTCTTGTCTACGAAGTATCATACGAACGGAGAAAATGGAGAAAACGGCTCCACTCTACAAATAATAACGAACATTATTAAAAACTATAAGTGACTTCTTAGGATAAGTTAAATTAATTCATTTGCAGTCTAACCCTTCGCGTGTTATCCTTCAGCAACGCGCAAGCTTGTTTCACATTCCGGATTCCCCAAATCCGCTCAAGTAAGTACCATTCACCTCCTCTTAGTTTGTAGAGTTGATTGTCTAAATCTAAATTTTTGAATGTAAATATTTATTCAGGAGTTTAGGACAAAGTCTTTATTTGTACGTAGGTTATGATCTTACTATGTCAATATGGTGTTTAAGAACTTGTACAAAAATCATTTTTTAGCTATGGTATGTGTTTATCTGCGATTATGTTTTCTATCCACGACAGAAGAGATAAAGGAAATTTTAAATTGTGTTATCTTACCGAACTTGGGGTTAATTATTTGTGGCTGTATTTTATTGAATCAATTACCCTTTTGTAAATAAGATTTCTGAATAAGAGGCACCTGTACCTATTCGTCCTCTAAATGATAGCGTTTAAATTAAAATCTATGCCAAATGCAAGGTTTTCGTTTTATCTAATTTTAAGTTTTACTTTGGCGTGCTCTTTTCTCCCTTAATGTAACTGAAGCTAAAAAGGCTATTTTTTAGAAATGATCGGCAATATTAACACTCTATTGAAAAATTAACTGCTAATTTCATGAAGTTCGTCAGTTATTTCTTCAGTAGAGTGTAATTATATAAATATAATATATATAAAATAATCGGTAATTGAATAAATTAATTTATCACTGTAATCAGCTTCACGAAACATTTCAGTTTTTAAGCTTAACTAAAATATGTTTTCGTTCACTTTGTTGAAAATATAAACTATTAAACTCAAAACGTATAGAAACATTTAGTATGAGAACAAGCAAATTTAAACTAATTTTAATTATAAAACAGTACAGTACTCTAAATGAAGTTTTTTAAATTCTTGGGCCTTATTTTCATTGTAGAATATTTTATTCCTACGTATTTTTGCCACTTGAACCAATACATGCTCCTTTTATCCTCAACTCCAGGCATGTGCAAGCCGTTCAGATTAACATCAGTGCAATCTTTAAACCACCAGCCACTTTGTCTTGTCATTGCGCAATGTTCCGCAACATCTATATCAGTTTTTCTGTCTTTCGTAGAGAAAGACCGATCATCGCTCAATATCATGCCACTCCCTAAAAAAGAATAATAATAAATTTTAAGACAAATACATACACTAAATATCTTTTACAAAATCATTCGGTGGTATTCTCTATTTGAATGATTACTAAACTGAAAAAAAAAAAAAAAAAACAATGATTTTATAAAGTTACTTTTCTATTAGAAAACTCCCTTTCCTTTTACCAAGGATAGAATTGGCATTAATTTCTATCATTTTCTGCCAGGAAAAGTGCGAAGTTCATTTAAACATTTTACCCGTAGGAGAACTATTGCAACCAATCTTTGTATGGAAAGGTGAAATTGAACTGAACCCACAATTTGAGAAGCTTTCACTAAAGCAAGCTTCAAATTTTTATTATCGGTTATTCAAAATATTTGCTTACGTGAGGAACCCTTATAGTGTCAGAAATAATATCGATATATCAAATTTACCAAAACTAACCGAAAATGTTTACCTGAATCAATCTTTTGATGACTTTTAAATGGTCTTTTCTGCTTTTAGTCTCTGAGTATTCACCAGCATTCTACCATCATATTTTGAAAACTGTTTTCCCAAACCGCAACTATAAAATATTAACTAAAGCGTCAATATCTGAAAGATCTTTTATCAGAAGCGTCCGCAAACTACCTGCAGTGCCTCCTCGTAAAGCAGCGGCCACATATAAGACTTTGAAGCTTGTAAACACATTCCATCAGAATTTTCCCTCATATAGGTGGATCATGATAATGAGTTAAGATGGTTAACTGGCGGTGTGATTACGAATGATTTGGCGAGACTAGTCACCCAGATGACATTGACAGATTGATCTGACTCCAAAAATGTTTTCTGTAACCTGTGTATTTTTTTTATTTATTTACTTGTTTTATTTATTTATCATTATTATTATTATTCTCTTTTTAACACTGAAGTAATTCTTAATTCACAAACGATTTTATGATCTTAATTTCATGATTCTCACTCGTATCGCTTTCTCAATTTCACTTATGTAGTGGCTACTTTCTCGTTCACAATATCAGAAGTTTCTCTTCAATAACGGCACTACTTTCTCTCGTTTAAGTAACATTTGCTTCTATAAATCCTTTTCTCTGGGAGATAGCGGATACAAAAATTTTCTTCATTTTAGTAAGAGTCGCTTCTATCGAATTCTTTGCTTTAGAGAGATTTATGTAAGTCATACTCATTATAGTCTTCCTATTTCTCGTAAAAAGCACTCATAGAGATTAAGAGAGAATAGGAATGCATCAAGATTAAACTTAAAAGGCAAAACGGCAACCTTATATTTGGCGTAGATTTTAATCAAACCTTAAAATTGATAAAGTTTTGATTAAAATCTACTCCAAATATAAGCCTTCTCTTTTGCCTAATTTTAAACCGATCTTCAAATCTGACACAGATTATTGTGGCTTATATCTCAAAGAGCCCAATAGCTACTCCAAATTACACTTTGTTGAATAACATTATAGCTTGTTCAGAAAGGTAACAGCTATAACTAGTTCAAAGAGAAAAATAGAAATGAGACAAGTTCTCCTTAAAACGCGAGAAATATCACAGATAAGCAAAAGTACTCCAAAGTAAAATCGCATTACTGTAAGAAAAACTATTCAAATAAATGGACTGGCCCTTGACACTAGTACAATCGTAGTTGAAGGAGTGATTAAACACTTCCAGAAGCTTCGAGAAAAATTGCTTCAGATTTCTAAAATGCGTTTTCTTAAACAAACTTGCAGAATATTACCAAATATCGGAACTTCGCAGCAAAAAGTTTCATTAAGGTCCATCAAGAGATTTTTAGCCCATATCTTAGCCTCTAACTGAGCTATCTTCAGCCCTCAAATGTTAGAAACGTCTATAATAAAACACATGACATAAACACAAAGGGACAAATGATTGTAAATTTGATCATAAGAAAACATACAATAATGCTATTAGATAAATTGCACCAAATAAAAATGAGCAAAATATTATACAATGCAGAAATTTAAAATACATTCAAATGAATGCAGGCACTTTCATAAATTTAGAAGACTATTAATAAAACGTACAGCCTTCTTCCCGAACAATCTGTAGAGTCATTAGGTTATTTTGAACCAGGAGACATGACAAAAGAACAATGCCCACGGCGGGACTCGAACCTGGACCTCTCGAATACGTGCCGAGTGTACTACCATTACACAACAAAGCCATGCTGGAAGGGGGAGAAAATATCTCATCTATTGCTCCTTTTAAAGGGAGACTGGGGATTAGGGGACGCAATCGCCAAATCCTGGGTGGTGATGAAATATTGCCTAACACCTTTTAATTCGAGCGCCACTCATGATATTTTGAAGCAGGAGCCATGAAAAATAATCAGTTGCCTCGCCAGGACTGGGACCTGCACCTCTCGAATACGCGCTGAGTGTGCTAGCATTACACCACGAAGGCATATTTGAAGAATGAAGAAAGAGCTTATAAAGCTGCTTTAAAGTGGTTGAACAAACACGGACTGAAAACATATATGTGTCAGCCACTGCTAATAAACAAAAATATAAAAGGAAGAAGCTACTACATGGATTACTATATGGAAATCAAGGTTTTCCATGTATCTGTTCGTTTATTACTTCATACTTTTGTTTCGAGTAATGATCATTTTGAGAACTAGAAATTTATATTTTAAAATTGCATTATTTTCAAATTTTGTAGTAATTTATACATTTTATTTGTTTACCTGTAGCGGTTTCAAAATTATTGATATTATTTATAAGCTGGCGACCTTCCTTATCAATACTCTCAATTATCTTATTCGACATTTTCACATACTTATAATACGTATATTTTTGAATGAATATATACTTGCATATCACGTACTTTAACACTACAAAACACTTATATTTCTCAGTGCATCTGTTTAGCTATTTTATTAAGGATCATTTCGAAATACTCTTCTTTAAAAATACTCTAAATTACTTACTTCAAGGAAAAATTACAGGTAACTTTGCAAAAATATCAATCACAATCATAGAATGATCATGAAATCATTCTATTGCTTTCAAAAGTATTACACGCAAGTGCTAGCCTTGCAGATGCAGAAAGTATACCTAAACTTCTGCAGAGTTATCGAGAATGTCCCGTACGCCCTCATGTAGGCATGGAAATACCGCAAATGGATCTTTCACCAGTAAACCCAACATTGCTCTCTGGAATGTCCAGAAAACAAACTTGCAGATAGGTAACATTCCGCCAGTGAAAGAAATGGGTCTCAGCTATGCTACGACTATAATAAAACACATGACACATGAAATGGTGCCGGAAGCTTAATGATACTGAGTTGCTAACTTCCGGACAGAAGAAAAAGAAGACGTGAAACGTTCTTCCGGATGAAAATTTCTGACTTCATATAGTAATCTCCTATGTGACCGAGAAAGGGCACATTATCCTTAATCAATAAAAATAAAGCAATCCGCCAAAAAGTGAGAGAATGGAAAATCTCTATAACTAACCTATTCTTTAAGACACAATAACACGCCGAACAAATACTAATTCAGAAGTCAAACAACAAAAATCAGCCTTATATTTTCAAATTTTCACAGGATTAGTTTCGATGGTTTTACCCAACCACCATCCTCAGCTGCAAAAGCGTAAATGAAAGAGATAGGATATTATGATTAGATAAGATAAGAAAGCCTGGACAGAAAATAAGCTAGTGGTGCCATCTGTTAATGAAACCAGAACTAAAACATAATTTCTTTAAAGGCCGAAGGCAAAGATAGATTGGAATTAGGATCGTTAACTAGAACAGAAAGATTTTTTTGAATGTGAAATGCGTCTAGAAAATCCAGTTCTCCAATGGAAGATGTTTTTTTGAATAATTTTGGCAGCAGAAAAATTGAAAGTGTGATTTTCGGACCAACAATGTTGGGCAACAGAAGATTGTGTTTCCTTTTTTCTAACATATGCCTCATGTATCAATTATTCAAAGAACATCTTCCATTGGAGAACTGGATTTTCTAGAGGCATTTTACATTCAAAAAAATCTTTCTGTTCTAGTTAACGATCCTAATTCCAATCTATCTTTGCCTTCGGCCTTTAAAGAAATTATGTTTTAGTTCTGGTTTCAATCAACAGATGGCACCACTAGCTTATTCTTGTACTAGGCTTTCTTATCTTATCTAATCATTGTATCCTATCTCATTCATTTGCGCTTTTGCAGCTGAGAATGGTGGTTCGGTAAAACCATCGAAACTAGTCCTGTGAAAACTTGAAAATATAATGCTGATTTTTGTTGTTTGACTTCTGAATTAGTAACCTACTCTTTATTTTCAGAATTAACGAAGTTCTCGTAATGACGGAAAAAAAAATAAAACATCGAAGAAACAGACAGAGGACTTAGCGTCAGAACAGCATCCAGTTTTTCCCAGATTTCTTTCCTTTATTTTCAGATTTATTTTCTTTTAGTCCTTTTTTTTTTTCACATTTGTCATAGTTCCTATACGCATTCAAATTTGCTCTCTTCTTGTTAAATGTTAGTTTCTAATGCTCATTTGTATATATCTCGAAACATGGTAATGCTCTACTTAAAAATATACGTAATGGTGTGAGTCGGTATTGTACATGTAGACAACTGATATTAATGATATTGATAGTGACGATTTTGTTCACTTTGTAGTACCGGTGTTGTGAAACACTGCAAAATCAATGCATGTAATTGTTCTGCTCTTATATGTAGCTACTTTGCTATTTTTCATGTTATGTTCATGCATCTCTTTTCTTTTCAATAAAATTTCCCACTGGGGTAATATTCAATTCCTCATGGCTTGACTCAGGATCTTAAATTTAGAATTTTCCGCATAGATCGATTTAGGCCATCTTGGCGTATACTGATCCAGCATAGTGTACAGCAGAGTTCCAATCTGCCATAAAATGACAGAATTGAAGATATCTAGAAATAACCTTCTCTCCTAGAATAGAAGAGAAACACGCCAATGTGACAATCAAAATCGCAATAACAACCTTGTATTTAGCGTACATATATTAAAACACTCAATCGATTTCGAGGGCAGCTAAAGGTTTCTCCTCATCAGGAGAACGAAATTACTAGAAAGGAGAAAAAAAAGAAGAAAAGTAAAGCATCGGCAAAGGCGTCTCAGAAACACATTGTCGTTATCAGCACTGCACGTGGTCGTAACCGTATTTTGAATCAGAGGTACACTGGCTTCCTACTTTTACTGATCCAGGCTATCTGATCAAACATATAACACATAGACTAAAACGCAAAACAAAGTAAAAAATAGGGAGCGAGGCCCAACTGCTCCTTCACATACCAAGTCTGAACCTCGAAGTTCTTCGAGGCCTATGAATGGCCCATGAATAAGTTGGGGACGATAAATTAAATGCCCACATGGAGTACTGAATTAAAATATTACAAAACAACAATATGTCTCCTGGACTGTGCTGCATTTATTTAAGCATACAGTTCAACAAGATACAGTACAAATACTTCTAATAAAGTCTAAAATATTTTTATCTTTAGCTCAAATAACATAATTTGAATCAAGAAAACTTACAATTTGAATAATAATAAATTTTTACAAATTACAAATTCACAATTTGAAAAATACACATTGAAAATAATTACAATTTGAAATAAAACATTTTATCTCAATTGAACAGTGAATTGGATGCTAGAGGGGCCATACAGCCGCCTTGTACAGCCAAACATTTATATGCTACAGGTCATGTGATTACTAGTCTTTCTGTCGAATTTATGCTAAGATGCTTGTTTATAAAATCTATATAAATCTCTGGAATTGATGAATAAGGCTTAAAAGAAAAATGAAAATTAAAGTTTTAACTGTTAGCTAAACTTGACTAAATATCACAGGTTTTGCAAACTAAGTTTCTAATTTTGAGTTCATAACACAAAGATTTTTAAAGGAACGGTAGACGAGAAGTTTTTCAGTTAATGAAGCAGTTTTTTTAGGTAATAAAACTGCTAATTTATTATCATTTTAAAAGATTCAAATAAAACTGAAATCCGCTTTTCCCCCCAAAAATATAAAGTAACGTAATTTATCGAAATCAGGAAATATTATGTTTTAGTTTGATGTATACAAAAATATATTGCAAAATTACCTGCATCACCACTATATCCTCTGACATGTACCCTATAGTTTTTGTTTTCATCATCGATTGCAAATATGTCGTAAACAGCATACACGCTTTTCCTATGGTTATCTGTGATATCGAATCGAACTGAGTAAAGTCCCTCATTGGTTAGCGAAAATATGTTCTCGTTACCTGAAATAGGAAAAGGGAGGTTAGTTATGCATGCACTTTTATATTACATCCCAAACTGGTTGAATAAAGCTATGTATGTAAAGAATCAATGAAGAAAGAACCACGCAAATTACCAAAAGTTTACAGTTAGACAGGAATGTTAAAGGCCGTGATAATTATATGAACATGCAATAAGTTCAATTAAAACAAAGTTTTGACACGAAACTTATTTATATGAAGTATTAACAAGCATTTTACATAGTTGAATATGCATATTTTCTTATATTAGAAAAGCACTTAAAAAGAATTTGAGATTGAAGTTTATAGGCATGTTGTCTCTACGTGTTCTCTTCGGGAGCATTCACAGTTGACCCTGCATGAAAAGACTGCGTAACGATTTCTCGCCATGTCTTTTAAAAACAAATACTACACAAGAAGGTTAAAATAACCTTTTTATTTAAACTAACGTAAAAAGATGCACTCACTCGGTGTTCATAATTCACCATCACCTTGTGGCTAAATAATTTAAACAGAAATGAAAATGTAAAATATAAGTAAATGAAATAGTCGAAATGAAGTAAATGAAAATGTAAATAGTCGTTTAGAATAGCTAAACGACTAACTACTTATTTATCCAAATCGCTAAATCGGCTGCACACAGCAAAGCTGAGCCTAGAATATCAATATAATCGGAAAAGTGTGGCTAACACTAACTAGAAAGCTATTTCAAACACGCAGCATAAACTCGGAACTAACTCCGCTACTACTCGTCACGAACTCTTGAAACCGCAGCTTAAATACTGCTTCTGAACACACTTAGATTTTTTAATACTACGTCATTAAAATTAACATTCCAGCAGGAAACTGAAATCAGGAGGGAAAGGAAAGTCAAACTAAAATAAGATCTTTACATGACATTGTGTCATTCTATGTACAATGTATTTAATAAAAAGGCATATACCCACATAGAGAAATGAAAGCTGTTACCTAACCAATAATCATTGTTAACGTTTCCAAATCCCATTTTGTATTCTTTCCAGTCCCTATAGAAAGAATCAGGAGAACTAAATCCTATTCCTCTTCTTTGAATAACCTACAGAAAGGAAGAAAGCTATCAAACTTATGCAATAAAATATAAGTACATAAGTTTGACAGTTTTTAGTAAGTAGAGATTCATACAACAAAAAATGATCATCGGAAACTTCTTATAGTAACACTATTACAAACTCAAAATAAAGTAATTATATGTCTGCTTAAACTATAGGGTACAATGTTCCTAGAAGAAATTTCATCATTGGATTTTATGCAAAACATTTTAGAAAATACGAAAGTTTAGATTTGCAATGAATTGGATTTCGATTTCATTAGGTATTTTTTACTGAATAATTTTCTCTTTCTTGCTATTCTAAGAGATATTTAGCAATTTCTACTGAAGTTATCTGATAGATATAAAAACTCTAGAAGGGCAATGTGAAGAATAAGAATGAGAATGTGAAGAATAAGTACTTAGGTTTGCACAATTTATAATTATCCTTTTGCAATTGTTTACTATAAATTTTGTCTTTGCAAAACCAATAAGTTTTCTTACTGGCATAATTCTAGTGAAAAGTTTTTATATGTTTATATAATGGTTGAATTTTGTTATTAAAGGGATTTTCTTATAAAGCAAGAATTACTTGCAAAAGCATATATTATGGAATACTTTTTCCAGCTGCCGCCGGACACTTTGATAATTGAGCATGCTCGGAAAAGACAGAACTCTCACATCACCGAGAACATGGCTCAGGGTGCACCACAATATCAATAGATTATACGATTGAAAAAGAGGGCATGATAACATCCATGCCCTTTTCCCCAATCGTAGTCATCAATAGACATGGCATGATAACATCCATGCCATGTCTGAGATTCTAATCCAGGCTCAAGGCTATGACAGATTGCTTCTCTACCACCATTCCAACAGAGGAACTTTCTTGTGAAATACTGAATTTATTAATTACTCAAGGCTGGATATTCTTCGTGTGCAAAGAAAACATGATCTTTCTAAAATATATACCGATGCATAACGCTGTCCGCCATCACAGTTTAAATCATGCCAGTAGAACATTTAGTTCTCAAACTGATTTATTTATTAGCATTTATTATTAAATATGTCTTATTTATAATTTGTATCATGTAGCAATGAATATTATTACTTTTCCGTTTTTTTTTTTTTTTTAATTCATACCTCTTTTCACTAAAGAGTTCTGATATACGATAACAGGTTTTTATTCTTTAAAATGATACTAATGTTTTTGAGTCAAAATAAAATTCTGATTTTTTTAAGAATCATTATTTCAAATGTTCAAACAAAATATGCAGATGTAAGTTTTACATCTATAAAAAGTTTTATGCATAAAATGAGCGAAACAATAAGAAAGAATATAATCTTTTCAACATCAGGTTTTGAAATAAAATATAGATCTCATGGTTTAAATTGCAGAAATTCGTTTTTTTAAACTTAAATAAAAACTGTTTTTTTTTTAATTTAGTTTTTCCCCCTTTTTTAAAAACGTGTTATGTACCTGATATTCCTGTATCATTAAAAAGCAAAGCATAAGGGAGAATGAATGTTTCAGAAATTTTAACGTTTTAAAACGTTGTAGACTTTCAGAAAAACTAAAAGTTTTGCATTTCAAGTATCAGCTTAGGCTAATTTTCATTTATTTTTTAAATAAAAATATGTATAATTATACAAAACAGCACGCTTATTTTGGAGTAGATTCTGAATAAAAATCTTTCGCTTTTCGAGTGATCTCAGACACAGTTCCCTTTTTTTCAGTAAAAGCAAAAATTCGTGTTTTCTTCCAGTTAGTGAGCAGTATATGTCATGCACATACGCGGTAAGGGGATGCTATCGACCAAGCCTGCCGGAAGAACAGTTAAGCCAACGACTTATAGCTGAAAGAAGTAAGGAGAAAATCTGGCAACGAGAAGAAGAAGCGTGCTTGATACGAGAAGGACGGCATGTTCGTGGGAAAAAATTTAAAATTAGTTTTCCTGTATTCCGAGAGTTGGGTTTATTTTTTGTTAAGAACTGAAAGGTGCAATGTATTACTTGTGCGTTTGATGTAATTGTGAATAAAAACAATACTTTGTGAAAAGATAATGTGTATTTACAAAATTAGAATATAGCTCATGTTATTGTTAAGGTACAATACGACTAACTTGATTTCCTGTATTACATAGAGGCCTTCAAACTTTGGAGCCAATTTTGCAGTGAAATTATCTGGGCTCTTGATTATAAAATTTCCGCTTTAACACTTTATCCCCTACTTTAAATCTGCTTCACGGCGTTTTCGATCATATTAAAGTTTCTGTCTATTTATTTATTTGCCGCATCCGAACTTTTAACCAACCGCCTGACAATAAGTTTCTGTATATCTTTTTGTTTAAATTCTTCTGCCCTTTGTTGCACAAAGAAAATTTTATCTAATGGCGTAATTAACTTACGTCTAAAAATAATTCTGCTGGAGTTTTTCCAGAGTATCATGATTTGCCGTTCTTAAAGCATAAGCTAACTCATTTATGTAGCCATCCCAGCGCTTGTGATGTGTGCTAACTGCTTCGAATTATTTTTACAATATTTTTATTAACTCTTTCTGCGATGTTTGCCTGTGGTCTATACGGAACCATTTTGATATGGCGTATGCCAAGTCCAGAGCAAATGTTTTCAAAAATTTGGCCAACGATTTGTTTACCGTTATCGCTAATGACTTTTTATCGGTGCACGTATTTTAAAATGTACCTGTGTAGAATGCATCTGCAACTGTTTTGGCTGACGCGCGTTAAGTGCAACATTTCTGTCCACTTTGAAAAATGATCTACAATTACAATTAAAAGAAAACGATTTTTATCTAACCACACTGAGGAAAGGACCAAGAAGATCTATGCCTAAAATTTCATTCGAAATGTAGCGCGAATGCTATTTAAGTACCCGGCCGGGCTGTAATTATATCATTTATTAATTGACATTTATTGCGGACCTGACATCGCAGTTACTATTTTGCTAATTGCGGGAAATATACAGCCTCGCGTACCCTTTTTAATAGTCTTTCTGACCTAAATGACCCGATGTTGGCGGGGTAACCCTTCAAACCTTCGAAAGAGCAGGAGCTGTCTATACTCAAAATTTCGTTTTGTTGCCTAATATTATTATTAACTTACTCAATTGTAAACCTTTTTATTTCTTTCATATAATCGATCCTTTGATCAATTCATCTTTGTCGGTTCGTTTCCTATCCACTTATGAATGTTATTAGTCAACTCTATTTGCAGGAAATAAACTGGGACACTTATGCAGGTTTAACAATAACATGAGCTATATTTTTAATTTTGTAAATACAGTTTAACTTTTCACAAAGTATTGCTTTTATTCACATTTACATCAAACGCACAAGTAATACATTGCATCTCTCAGCTCTTAACAAAAAAAAAAAAAAAAAAAAAAAAAAAAAAAAAAAAAGCTAACTCTACTCTCGGAATACAGCCAAACTAATTTCAAATTTTTTCTCACGAGCATGCCGTTCCTTCTCGCATCAAGCACGTTTCTTCTTCTTCTCGTTGCCAGATATTTTCCCCTCTCCTTTCAGATAAACTGTTTTTTCACACGAGCATGCCGTCCTTCTCGCATCAAGCACGCTTCTTCTTTTCGTTGCCAGATTTTCTCCTCTCTCCTTTCAGCTATAAGTCGTTGGCTTAACTGTTCTTCCGGCATGCTTGGTCGGTAGCATCCCCTTAGAGTATGTGCATGACACGCCCCTGCCAAGAATGAAATTTGTCCTTTCTTTGGGACGTATTTCATTAATCAATATCCAAGCAAATTTTCTGTACATTACTTTTACACAATACCAACCAACCTCGTACAGTATTAAATAAAACAAAACAGAACAAGCAATAAATTATTACAATCATACAAATAAACAAAGAAAAAGAAAAAAAACAATCAAATTATATTAATCATATCATATTTGATCCAGACGTGAGAGTGCATCTGCACTTTGGTGCTGGATCCCTGGCCTATGACTAATCCGCAAGTTCCATTTCTGCAATGCCAGAGCCCACCTCGTCAATTTGGGACTTCGAGGAGTAGTTTCATTCAAATATCTGAGAGGGTTGTGATCCGTTATAATTTCTACCTGAGCCCCATAGATCCATTTATCAAATTTATTCAGGCCAAATAAGACTGCCCAAGCTTCCTTCTCAATGCTTGCCCAATTTTTCTGAGTTTGAGAAAGCTTTTGACTTGCAAATGCAATAGGACAATAGTTACCACTCTCGTCTATCTGGGTTAAACAGCAACCTACCGCCAAATTGGATGCATCACAATGGATCTGAAATGGCTTTCCTATATTTGGTGTGGCCAGAGATGTCACTTGGCACAAAGTATCCTTTAATTTGTTTAAAAGCATTCTGTTCCAACTCCCCCCATAGAACAATATTGGCTTGCCTCTTCTTCGTCAACTCTGTCAATGGTGCCGATATTTCTGCGTAACTGGGAATATAAGATCGATAAAATCCCATTAATCCTAAAACCGATCTCACATCTTTTTTTGTGACTGGCCTGACGAGTTTTCTAATTGCTTTGACCCTTTCTTCATCAGGACCATGCTTGCCTCCTCCAATTATATGCCCCAAATATTTGATTTTTTTAGCTGCAAAAGTACATTTGTCCAAACGTACAGAAAATCCTAATTTTTCTAAAGTTTCCAGAACCAGAGAAATGTGTTTCAAGTGTTCCTCAAATGTTTTCGAGAAAATCACCACATCATCTATATATGCCTGAGCATAATCACTATGACTCTGCAAAGCACAATTCATTTCCTTCTGGAATGTCCCTGAGGCTCCTGATAAGCCGAAAGGCATTGTTCTCCACTGGTACACTCCATTACATGTTGCAAATGCAGTCAAAGGTTTGCTCTTTTCATCCATTCGGATTTGCCAATACCCTTTTCGAAGGTCGATGCTTGTCAGCCAGTTTGCTGCACCCGCCACAAAAATCAATTCCTGCATGTCTTTCATGGGAAATGTTGGAGTTTTTCGTTACAGCATTCAATGATCTAAAATCTATACACATTCTAACTGTAGCATCTTTTTTCGC